TGAAAGGAAAGTCATTCTTGGAGGGAAAAAAAAAAACCATGTGGAGAAAAAGACTACATTGTGGAGGCTGGGATGGGCAGTCTGGTTTTGATAGTTGAGGTATGCATGTGAACTGGCACAAGTTAGGATGCAAGAATATGCCTGGGAATATTTGTAGGAATGTTTGTACTCATACATAGTTGGGGTTGTGGAGGATGTTGGGGTTGCAAAGGAAGGCTAGAACCATGCTGCCTACGTATACTGCAGTTGGGCAGAGATAACAACTGTGGTGCCTAAGGAAAGGGACAAGAGATGTTGAGTGTGCCCTCAACAATAAATAAACAATAAAAGATGGTTGGCTGGTGGCTGGTGAATGGCAATACTATACAGTATTGCCATTCTGTATTATACACCTTAATAGTCAAACTGTCTCTCAAGTACTAAATAGACGTAGCTTAGCTTCTGAGATCAGAAAAAAAAAAAAATTAGTAGTGGTTGGCTTCTCTGGCTAGGTGCCTCAAGTAAATGTGACTCCAGGAACTATGCTGCAGGCTCTCTGCCTCCAATTCCAGTTGTACAGCGCTCAGACCACAGCACTGATCATCCATCAAGCCAGCAGCCTCTGTGGTGGCAGAGCTAAGCATTATTTCCTCCAAACTTGGTCCTACTGCCCTCTGTTGTCAGTGGGGCAGGAATGCAAGCAGAATGAGGAGCAGTCAAAGCTGTGCCCTGCTCTTTGTCCTACAGTAAAGAATAGAGGATCTTAGTTGCAGTCCCTCTACCAGCCCAAAACTCTCCAAGACCTCTCCAACTTGGCTTCCAAGATTCCATGAGATCTGGCAAGCTCAAGAATGTGTATCTAGAGGCATTTATGGGAACCTCTTTTACTTACCAGCACATTCAGTCTCATTCCCTCTCCCTTCCTGCCTGACTGCAATCTGGACCTTCACTGAGAGACATGAGGCATTAACCTAGCACCTGCTGCTCATTCTCAAAACGTCCCTCCTCTACCCCCATCCCTACCATCCACCTAGACCAAGACATGGCTCTATTCCCTACCGCAAAATGAAGATAGCTTCTGATGTAGATTGCAAGGCAGTCTGGTTCCCAAGTCAGAAGTAGTTGTCATTTGGGCTCAGACAGAACATGATGGCAACAGAGCTCTCTTGAAGCCTTTTCAAATACAGTTCTTGCTGACCTGGTATGGGAAGAATAAATATCTCCTGGGATATGTGTATGTTTTGCTTTGTTTTGTTTTCTTTCTCTGCATGGGGAAGCTTGTACTTAGTGAAAGTACCTGTTCTTTCCTGAGAGCCCTCATGATAAAGATGCCATGGGCACGGGGTCCATTTAATTTCCTGGGAACTTGAGTGCACCCACAGTTTGTATGATGGGGATCCAGAAGCAAGAGGACAGTTATTCCTGGGGACTCTTTCCTGTGATGGGGATGGAAGTCATTTATTGGGAAGGCATTCCAAGTTTGTGGAGATAAGACTACACCGGGGAAGTTTCAGATAACAGCTGTTTAGTGTGACTTTAACAGCATGATCACTTTTGTGAGTTGAGAGGAACTGGTGTGCAGGCAAATGGCAAGGACTAAAGAGCCCCTGCTTGTACACTAGGAGTCTTGAACACCTCAGGAGGATGGTGGAAGTGGGAAATGGAACAAGAAAGTTTGAGAGGAGCCACATTCTGCTGGCAGGGAGGAAGCAAAATCTTAAGCACCCAGAAGTTCTAGGTGTTCCAATCCTATTTGGTTTAGGAGATCAGAAGACACAAGTGCTAGGATACATTCAAGGTTTTAAGGCCACAAGCATCCACAGTTCCCTTTAGTGCCTCAAGGACCCATGATGCCAAGGCATGCCACACCCAGCTGAAGGCAACTTTGTCCTGAGGTTTCCCAGGCCACTGTACCCCACCAGTGTACTTTACACCAACACAAACTGCAGGATGTGCGAGAACCTTTCTAGCCTGACCCTTTAGTCACCACCTCTGGATCCCACCCAACTGACCGGGCCAGAACATCACACTGACTCAATCCCCTTCCCCCAATGTCCTGGAGAGTCTGGCAGGCTCTCCTCTTTGTCTTGCCTTGCTTCCTTCTCACCAGAGGTATGCAGGTGGCATGCAAGTATGCAGTGAGTCAGACCTAGCACTGGGTGCTAGGCATGCAAGTATGCAGTGAGTGGCATGCAAGTATGCAGTGAGTCAGACCTAGCACACTGCTACCCATTCCAGTGACAAGAGGTATCTGCCATCCTTTATTCCAGCAACTGGTCTCCTCTCCCTGTACTCAACAGGTATGGCTGGGCTTGGCTATGGAAATACCATGGTTTCAGAAATCCTCAAAGCCTACTGCCCTAGGTGTTAGGGCTTCAGGCACAGAGCCATTGGAGCCTTTCCCAACTCAAGGCCCAGGCTCACATCTCCTTCCAGACCTCTGCTTAATGCATTCCGGGAGCCATCACTGTGCCCAAAGGACAGCTTACCAGTCCTGATGCTGTTCCTGGCACCACCCAGACCACCTAACCTCACCAAACCAAGAGTTAGACTCTTCCAGGCAGGTGGAAAAGAAGTGAACTGCTGGTAGAGACTATGACGAAGAAAATAGCTCCCCATTGAAGAAAGTTTGTGCTTGGACTGCATTCAGACATAAAGACTTAACAATGCTGCCTCCTACAAGTATTTTAGGGAGGCAAGGATTTTGACTTGTTGGGATCTTGGTGGGCAGGGTTGGAGGGCAGGAACCAGAGCATGGTACTCCCTGTGAAACAGACTCTTGCCCTGCTCCTTCTACGCCATTACCACTGCGTCTACTATCTTTGGCTATGGGAAGGCAGGCAGCAAGCCAGCCTTATAGTGGCTAGCTGCCTGTGCCAGGGACAAGAGTACTCTGACAGGTGAAGGTCCACCCACTACCCCACCTTTCTTTTTCTACCCTAATTTGACCCACCTACATGAGGCAGGTGGTGCACCAGCAGGGCACCAACCCTTGTCTGCTGCCCTTCTTAGAATTGCCAGTGATAACCAAACCATCATGACTTTACTTGAAGGTCTCTGCTAGTGGGAAAAATGGAGTTGTTACACCCTCTGGTGAAGAGTATGTTGCTTGGTCGAAAAGCTTCCTTAATTTGCTCATTGCTTTCTAGTCTTTGCAGCAAACGGGCCACAATCTGGAAGGTGTGGTGGGCAAGGGCAAGGGGGAGGACCAGCCTCTAAGGAGACGGGAGACAGCTGTTTCAGTGAACTCACTCAGCAGCCAAGTCTGGAGAGGAAAGAGCAGTGTCAGGTCTTATAAAGCAGCTCTACCTTATCAACAGCCAACAAACGGCTGGTGAGGTTTAAGGTATGTGTTAGAGGATGCAGAGGCAGAGATGGGACTATATGAGAAAAGTCAAAAATCTAAATGGCTAAAAAGCAACAGCTTGCACCGGGAAAAGCAAAACAACACAAAACACCAAACGAAACACGTTGAATGCCTAAAAACTTGAGTTTGGCATGAACCCACATTTGAGCTCTGATCTCAGTCTTCACTGAAAAATGAACAGAGACAAATAAGGAAAACCAATATTGGCATGTTTGTGGAATGGTTATCATGGCAGTGGAGGAGACACAGTTTCATCTGTCAGAGTGGAATCAGGGAAACATGGGAATAGTCAAAGCCTTTATGGAGGTTAACACTGACTGGTGGTTGTGTTGCAGTGGGATTTAGAGGTTAGTCAAAGTAATAAATAAGACTATTAAGAAGCAGTAACATACAACACACTTTACTGGGTGATGCTTGGAGGGGTTTTTTGAGAGAGGAACGCCCTCGTGCATGAAAATTAAGGCAGATGCTGAGTTGGGTAAGGAAACTCCATAGGAAGCACACTTAGAAATGTTGTTCAGCAACTCTAGAAATTCTGAGTCAGAGAGCTCCAAACGGTAGTAGTTTCTATTTCATCACCCAGCACATGCTGAGGGAAGATTTTCAGTATTTGCAAACTAGGAAAATCTAAATGACTAAATTCTGCTTGTTTGGGGTATTTTTTTAAAACAAATTTTATGTTTTTAAATTTACTTCGAGAGAGAGACAGAGAACTTTTAAGTTTTTAAGTTTATTTTCAGAGAGAGAGACAGAGAGCGAGCGAGCAAGCATGTGCATACAAGCAGGAGAAGGGGAGAGAAAGAGAGAGAGAGAGAGAGAGACCGAGAGAGAGAGAGAGAGGGAGGGAGAGAGAGAATCCCAAGCAGGTTCAGTGCTATCAGCCCAGAGCCCAATGTGGGGCTGAAAGTCACAAGCTGTCAGATCATGATCTGAACCAAAATTGAGTTGGATGCTTAACTGAGTGAGCCAGTCATCTTTGGCTCATTTATGTAACAGTGTGATCTTAGAGGTGACGGAGGCAACCCAGAATGGTTAAGAGCTGGGGTGGAAACCCCAGACAGAGCGGTTTCCTTATGAAGCAGCTGCTTGTGAAGATAAGCAAACAAGAGTTGTCAGGGTTGTGATGGACAAAAAAGAAGCTAGTGTGATAAGGGCCAGAGAATGGAGAGGCAGAGCTGGGATTTCATTATGTGTATATAATGAGAAGGAGAAAGAGGCAATATTTAAGGCAGAAAGGGAAACAAACAAAAAAACCCACGGATGTTCAAGAAGCAACTGTTGTGACACCTGGTTAGCTCAGTCAGTTGACTCTTGATTTCAGCTCATGTCATGATCTCAGGGCTGTCGGATGGAGCCCCACTTCGGGCTCTGTGCTAAGCATGGAACCTGTTTAAGATTCTGTTTCTCGAACTCTGTCCCTACCTGCTCACTCTCCCTCTCTCAAAATAAAAAATTAGCACTTAAAAACAAAACAAAACAAAACAAAACAAAACAAAACAAAACAAAACAAAACACACAACTGTCCAGGGCAAACCCATTCATTCACACGTGGAGAGCTAAAAACAGACAGCTTGCAGCCATTCCTTTGCTATGTTGATTGGCACACTACAAACCACAGTAGGTCACTTATAAATAAGATACTGTTTCATGTGTATTGCTACAGGACTTCATTTTTTATTTATCACTACTGGGAAGCCATCACAAACAGAAGAGTGGATGACGAATGTCAGGCATGGTTTACAGATCTGCATGTGTTACTGAATTACATGGCAAAAAGTTATGTTTATTATGTGATAACATGACAGCTGTTAAAGAACACAGTAGGTATTGGTGTTACTAGATTAAGCACTCATTATATCCAACCCCATAGGAAAACAACAGCCAGAACAAGTAGAAAATTCAAAACTGAGAGACTCATTTTAGCAGCATTTCTTCAAAAAAATAAGTGTCCGTATGCAATCAAAGTAGGTCTCCAATGGATGAGTCAATGACATCCAAATAAGGAAAGCCACTTATACACACTGGGTTAACTAAATCATATATGACAAGAGCAGCTTGAAGAACTGTATCCAGAGAAAGTAAACTTAATTAACCTGTTGGAGAGAATAAAGAGTTATGTACACACATAATTATTTAAAGTCTACTTCTCTGACTGCTAAGGTGGCAGACAGTACTGCTACTGCCTTTGTTTTTTTTCTTTCTGAAAACAGTGTCAAGTTGGAAGCAAGTAAAGGATGGACCTTTATTAATAGCCTATATGGGACAATTGCTGGTACAAGTATTTTCATAGAAGTTGAGAAAATTCACTGATTCCGAACACAGAATTTGCCAAGAGTATTACAAGTGGTGGTGGTAAAAATGTGTGGAACACATAAGCCAAATAAACAATCCTCTTGAAAATATAAGGTGTATTTCTGTGTCTATCCTGTATTGCTATTGGTATTGGTGTCAATGAACTTTACTCACTCGGATGAACACAAACATAAACATCATCACTTCCATGAATTTTTGTCATCAGAAATAGAAACTGAATAGCCTAGTAGCCATATCACACAGCACTTTGAAGGCTTAGTAAAGGTAAAGTTATACTGCAATTTTTTTTTTTAGTCCAAATCAAGATTAAAATTTTCCAGAAAGGGAAGAATTACCCTTAATCACTATTGCAGCATACTAAATGGCTTTGGAAATTAACTTTCTGGTACAGATTTGATGTTTCTTAATTCAACTATAATCACAGGGTAAATCTGACTTCGTGTTGCCCCTTACTGGAAAGGAGGAAAGTAATTTGTCGCTGAGCACTTAGTAAGATTATTGTATGCAGACGATCTCAATTCTTTCACTAGGGTAGCAGTATTTTCCATTACACAGTGATTTCCAAATGGTGAAGTGCAAATATAAGCTCTGACAAAAAAAATACACAGGCAAGACATTCCCTTTGAGAATTAGTGCAGAATTTCACAGTGCACACTGAGAATCATAAACCTAGCACATCTGTGTGGGACACCAATACCCATTAAAGTTCAGAAAATGCTTATTAGATATATATGAAATATCAAGACATCACATTTATTTAATCCTGATGTTACATTAAGATATCACTGTTTTTGTAACTGGTAATGAAACTGAAACTGCGGTAGCAGAATATTGGTAGATTTGCAAGTAACAAAGTTATGTCTGAGGATAACTGACAGAGTGGAAAAGACCAACAGGAAATAAAACAGAAGACAATAAGGAGGGTGGCAACAATCATATGTATGGAATTTTATAAAGAGATATAGGTCTACACTGGCTGGGGAAGCAGGAACCGAAGTAAAAGCATTGATTAAGACATTCAAACCATAACCACAGAATCTGATTACTGATAGAGATTAAGAAAAATAGAGCGTATGGATTGGATCACTGACACACACAAGAATATAAATATGAACAAAGTGTTGTGCTGCTCATGCTTTACGTATTTACATATTGTACTAAACTTTTAAGAATAAATGTTTTAGATGTCATATTTATCATCTGAAAAAAAGGAAAACTAAGAGGCATAATATACGTCTAAAGTTCAGCTCCATTAAATTCATGAGGCAAAGCCAACTGCATATAGGTTTGGTAGCAGATTAGCTAAACTTTATGAAACAGTGTACAGTAGGAGGAATCAACTCTACCTTACTGAAAGCCTAACTGAAAGTTATATTAATCAAGACAATGGAGTCTTGCCAAAGACGCAGACTGATAAATCAATAATGAACGGAATATTACAGGTGCACAGAAGTACAGGCAACAGATTTTCAACAAAGGAGTAACAAAATGATTCAATGGAGGAAGAGTAACTGTCCAACGCTGCTGGAACATTGGAATCCATAAAGGGTACATGACCCTTGACCTAAGTCTCATATGTTATATAAATCAACTCTTCACATGTCTACCAATAAAGAATTATAGAAATTTAAAACTAGGTTTTTAAGTGTACCACTTACAGTCCTTAATTGTTATACTCAAAGAACACAGATCCACAGGTTTGGAACATACCAGTTGCTGTTTTATTTTTAACAAAGGGAATCAAATTAAAATACATAATAACAGCTTGAACCAAGAACTACTTCTTTTGCTGTATTCTTTTTGACACTAACAAGTAATTACACAATACAATGTCTTTTCTTACAATGTGAAACAAGGTGAGAAAAGAAAAGGAGGTAGAATAAAGGCAGAAAAAACCCTGAAGCACCAAAGTATTTTAAAAATAGAAGAAGAAAAAAGAGCAATACAAGAAAAATATGGAGGAAAAAAAAAAGAAACAAAGAGGTATATATGCCTTTCTCAAATTTTATTTGCCCAAGTCTAGAATTAAACTGGGTTGGGAAATCACGCACTGTTTTCTAGTCCCAGTCATGCTGCAGGCAAGAAACTTCTGGGAAGAGGCACACAGGGCCTTAGGAACTGAGCTTAATAAAACATTGTCTTTAAGACAAGATATCAAAACTCTGAATTGACAAATTCTATATAGGAAATGAAGTCCAGGAACTAGGAAGGTTCAAAAGGCAGCAAATTAAAAGCGCCTTTTTCTGTTTGTTGTCACAACTCTTCCTGCTGAGGGTAGGACTGGTATAGAAAAGGGGTTAAAGAAGGTAAAGGGGCTGTAGGACCAGAATCTTTCTGTTGCAAGCTATTTTGGTTCCCTTTCAAGTTGGGGCTATGGTCTGTAGGAGATGTCAGGAATATATTTTCACTATCTGTTTCTTCCTCAAACTGTTCTTCTTGCCCCTCCTCAAGCTTAATCCCTGAGCTCCGAGCCTTTTTTGACTGCAGCTCTTCTTGAACAAGATCCTTACTTTGCCTACCCAGATCTGTTTGCTGCTGCTGCTGTCGCCGTCGTTTCTCCAATGTCCGGCTTCTAGTCCGATTTCCTTTATGTTCATGCTTCTCCAGCTACAATGACACACAGGCAAGCACAAACCACTTGTAGCCCAGTGGTCAGGCATGGGCTCCCTGACTGCCTGGCCTGACCATCTGGCCCCGCCCATGTCACTTTTCCTCACCTCCATAAGTGTATGGATCCGCTCCAGGTCTGGAGGCTGTCCAGCCTGTAGCAACTGCCAGATGCTATGGTTCTCATCTAGAGTCACCTCAAGCAGATCCCCCTCCAACATGAGCTCTTCGAGGGGGGCCCGGGTTGCCTCAGGCAGATCCAATGCAGGGCCAGTCAAGTGTGGTAACAGTGAGGACAGTACCTCCAGGTCTGTGAAGTTTTAGGGACAGGCTGAGTTAGAAGCCTAGTCTTATCCCCAACATTTTGACAGAACCAAGGACCAAATGGGTCATCTTGGTGGCATCCACTCAACAGCATACATAAATCTAGACCTATGTATCTTACCTGATCTCTGCAGAGGGGCTACCTTCTCATGACTAGTCACACCATCCACATTTGGCAGCAACCCTGGGACCTGCTAAGGAAAGTAAAAATGGGTAGGGTAATAGGTAACAGAAAAACCAGATAGTATTTTTCTTGCCCCAACTTCAAATTGTGACCCTTTCCCTCCTGAAGGAGTGAGATATACACTGATAGCACGGAGCAGTGAGGTATCTGGACAGGACAGAAAATGGGACAGGTAGACTAGACCAAGAGAGACTAAAAATTAAAGAATAAACACAGGCTAGAGCCTAAATAGGGGTAGGGCTAGGACACAGAAATTTAAGAGTAAGAGTTGGGCAGAGCAGCTAACCTTATGCATATCCTTGCCACTGCCTTCTCTGAGTAGGTGAGAGGCAGGGGCTGAAGGGTAGGGAGGTGCCTCCTTGCCCCTGGGTTCACTCTGCAGCTGCTGGCGAAGTTCACCCAGCTGTCCCAACAGAGCAGTCACATCCTCAGAGGCCAGAGCCTGCCTGGCACGACCTTGCCAGACAATGGCCCTCTCTGTGAGACACTGCAGGGCCTCACCCTCAGGCAGCCGTACTGGCAGTCTCTGCAAGGCTACCAGCAATGCCAAGATGGTCTCCAGACGTGGGCGCCGTGAACGCATGCACAGTGGACATAAGAATTTGGTGTCCCACTCCCACCAGGCCAGCAGTGGTGATGACGTAGGACTGGGCCTTGAAGAGCTGAGGAGGCGGGGTACTGACACACATTGCCCATGGAACCAATCCTGACACAGGTCACACTGAAGAGTTCCCACCCCAGCTGGCACCTGCCCACACACACAGATGGAGGTTGCAGAAGTGGTCGATGATGCTAGTGGACGGGACTTGGCAGAGTTGGTGCGACGCAGGTGTAGGATACCCTCCTTCTCCTTCTGTTCCCCTTCCTTGAAGGCTACAATCTGGCAAGCCCAGGACAGAGGAAGAGGAGGTCAGCAGGCTATTCCATTCCCTTTTCCAGTGCCTTTACCATCTAACTCACAAACCAGGAAAACTGAGGCTTACAGAGGCAAGTGTCTCCCTATGGTTACCCAATTGAGATATTCTTATCATAATCAGACTCTTCTCCCCACATATGCCCAAGGTCCTTACCAGAGAGCCTGGGTCTCTGAGGTCCTGTGCAGTCAGTCCTAGCAGCTCTGTGTCAGATCTGTACAAGCCCAACTCCTTCCCTATCCACCGGCTACGCTTGCTGCTGTCTGAGCCAGCATTTACACACGGGCAGAGCACCTGAAGCAGTAGACAGGGGGAGTATGTCCAAGATGCCCCTCCCCAACCCTCTCTGGGTGCCCCAATTCTCCACATTCTCACAATAGCCACGCTAGGGGCACAAGAGGCTGTGCATTATGATTTTAGGCCTTACCTCCAGGAGGGTGTAGCATGAATTCTTTTTGAGGAAGGTCTTGGAGGCTTTCTCCCTCCAGGAGTGTGCTGTCAGTACCTGAAGCTCTAGCTGTCTCAGCTCCTCCAAACCTACAGGTAGGTCACGGCCTATAGCCACCAGGCCCTCCAAGTCATCCAAGCAGGGATAGTGGTCACCGTTCTAGAGCAGGGGCAGGAGATAGCTCAATTAAATTATGTCACAGACTATTATGTTTAGATTTCTACTGATCAACAGTGAGCATCACCCTGCATAGTTGTAAGGAATATCCAGGACCTATTCTAAAGAAAACAAGGAATAGCAAACACTTTCTCCCAGAACTCCTACTTCACTGTCATGGGAAAAAAAAAATAGCCCATTCCACATCAACTATTTTGTCTGGTTTGCCTTCTCTGGCTCTCTTCCTTTGGGATAGTCTCTGCTGAGGTCTAGGGCTATGTTTTTGGTTCTCCTTCTGCTATTCTTAATCCTGATATTCTCACCTCTAACCTCCTACCTCTACTTATTAGAACAAGAAAACTGAATTTAAAACGCCTAAGGCAGAATAGTAGAGAATTATGACACAAAGTCCTTACTTGGATCTCATCCACATCAGCAATCCAAGCCTGTGCCTTAGCCAGAGCATCTTTGAGTGCCTGGATGTTAGGCAGGTGAACTGGGATGTTTTCTGCCTCTCGGATTATGGCTTCCAATGTAGCTGGTGGATGCTTCTGTCTACAAATGTTTGGAAAAAGAGGAATCCACCCTTAAACGTTATATACATAGGCAGTTTGTTTGTTTTGTTTTTGTGGTCCCAGGTTTCACTATCAAAAGCATAAGCAACAAAAAGTTTAAAATAGTAACTGAGCAATAATCCCTCCAGTCTTAGGAATGTTTAACACTGACAGCATGTGATTCTCTTGTAAGTCTGGTCTACTATCTATCACCAGCATGATAAATATTTTATCAATTATTACCTTACAGCAGAATAGTAAATCAAAGGCTGGATGACATGTCATACCAATCCTTTACAGTTTAGCAGATGTTGAACTGGGAGTCTGATTTTAGGGATCAGATCTTAGGATCAAGCCCAAACTCTCAGAACTGGAGTCAGAGTATGTATGGGGACAGGCTGGGCCCCACCTGGCCTCCAGGCAGAAATGAGCCTTTTCTTCCCAGCGCTTTGCAATGGTCAGCAGCTCCTGAAGCTCAGCCCGGGCCTTGTCCACAGAAGGGCTGGAGGCTACTTTGGCACCTGTAACCAAGAGCCCTTGCATGATGACCAGAGAGCCCCTTTGGCCTGAAGGGGCCAGTGCTTGCTTCACCTCATCTAGCCATTGCGCCTGCTCCACCTGCTGCTGGAGCTGATGGGCTTCAGGCACCCGTACACCCAGCTGCTGCCCCCTCTCCAACAAGGACCGCAATAGCCCTACACTGGGGGGCAGTAAGGTCAGGGCCTCCCGGGCCTCAATTTGGTAGGCCTCCACCTGTTCCAGGACATCCTGCAGACATATAGGATAAAGAAGAGACTCTTTAGCCATCCAGATATGCAACCACTTCCATGTGTTCCCCATGTTCTCTCTTAGGCCTTTACACTTATCATCAACCATGTAATGAGACAAGATCTACTTAATATCAACAAAGTTCGTTGGTAATTCCCCCTGCTTCTCCTGTAGTTTATCTCAAATTTACTGTTCCAGGCCCACTTTCACACCATGTTATCTTTCTAGAAAGTTTCCCGAGACCCTAAATTCTAAAAACAATACCTCATTTCTTCCACATTCTCCAATCCCGTGAGCCAGATCGTTGTATAGCCCTCTGTTTAGTATTTTGAATTACTTCTGTTTGGGACATTATCTTCTTGAACTATACAGCTATGGAGTATACTGTGATATAGCTATACAGCAATTACAAAAGAGATAGCACTGAACCACCCTTCTTTACAGCTTCTAAGAAAGATGTATTATAAGGAGCTAATTAGAACAATTAGTTTCCCAAGTTTCCCTACTATCTCAGATTTGCTAATATCTGTTCGTATCCCCTCTTCACCTTGACATCCCCAATATGATGCATGGCACAGGGAAGGCTGCCCATCTGCTCAAGAAGGACTCGTAGCTCAGTCAGGGTCAGTTGTGGAGTTTCTATCCTGGAGGAGTCACAGAAAAAAAAAGACTCATTCATTGAACCTGCTAAGGCCAAAGTGCATGCTTTATGAGTAACCCAACTTATTTTTTTTTCCATTTAAGGAGTATCTTTGAAGATCATCTTTATAGTTTAGGCACTATGAGTCAGTAAGTTAAGATGAAAAAAGCTTGGGGACATTCTGTATTTGAAATTGTTAGAGCAGACTGAAGATACCAAAGTGAGGCAATACAAGTTTCTGAAGAAATGTATGCTGTCTGAGGTATCACTAGATAGAAAAATTAAAATAAAGGCAAACATTTCTTTTTGAGAGAACAAAAATGTAAGATGGCCTTTACAAAGCTTTTGTTTTCTACATTTTTTTGAGGTAAGAGTTATAAAGAAATGAAAATGAAGAATAAGAAAACATAAAACTAAAAATTCAATAGGATCTAAGAGTAGTAGTTTTCACAGTAAAGGTAAAAATAAAACATCTGGTAATTACAATTAACATAAATATCACAGGTTTTAAAAAAAACACAAAAGGAATTAAGAAACAAAGACTTCTGTGATGATGCAAAAAAATGAAAATAGCAGAAGACAGAAATAAGGAGTTGGTTAAGCTGGTGGAGGAGTAAGCTTGCCTCCTACCTTTAACACAGCTAAGTATAAAATCATTCTGAACACCCAAAAAAGTGATCTGAAGTCTGGGAAAACAAAGCTGATGTCTACAAGCGGAAAGAATGACCACCTAATGGAAGGTAGGAACTGCAGACAGTTGATCTGAGGGAGAAAGGAGCCACAGGTGTTGAGGAGAACAGGGAGCCCACACAGCTGAGAGAGGAGAGAGAGACAACGCAAAAAAGAATGAAAACACTCCCAAGGGATATTGTGGGAAAAGCTGTTCCCCAAAACCACTGACTGGGAAAAAAGGGGAGGATTTAAATACCACAAGGGTTTTATAAACAGTAGAGTCTAGAGTCTCAAGTTTCAGAGGTCAGCACCATCCCAGGGTCCTGCCTGGTGACATTACCAGTGGTCCCCTGGGGAAGAAGGAAGGAGACCTGGGAACAGGCAGTGCATTCCGAGGATCCCCTGGGTCTCAAAAGGAGAAATAGTTCCCCTGCCTGGCGCTGATGTGGTAGAGATGATGGAGACTCTACATGGACAAAGGAACTTGGGAGCACCAATGAGCTGCTCTGTTCACCGTACAGAAACAAAGATGTTGGCTGAGGCAGCAAACCCTGGCACTGGCTGCCTGCCATGATTTACGAAAAACTTGGAAACCACTATGCAGTACCAAGACTATTTTCTGGGATAAGCCGACCAGCAACAGCACGGCAAGACCCTCCCTCAGAGGATCAGGGTGGGGCCACGCCTTGGTGGTCTCTGAAGCTTGGAGTTTTGAAACACAGCAGTGCCTTACAGAAAACACAGGGGGCTGTGCTGCTGGCATAGACAACTGGAACACAGAGTGCAGACAGGGAGCTGACAGAAGCTGAAACACAGGAGGGTGATGTTTCCTTGTCCAGGAGTGCTTCCTGAAGAGTGGTAGGACCTCCACCTCCAGAGATGAGAGCTGGACAAAGCCCCTGCTTACCAGCAGGGATCCACCTCAGTGAGCTAAACCACACCACCAACTGGAGACCAAAGCCTCTACACCAAGCCCTGCTTGCCCCAACCTCCAGACACATCTCCACTAGGGCAAGTCCACCTGAGAATCAGAGCTGCAGGCCCCTCCCCCAGAAGACCAGCACAAACCACTTCGAAGCACTTGGTCTACTGATTATAATCAGTAGCACTGGAAAGCTTCAGCTACATGGGAAATAAGATCTAGTGTCTTTTTTATTTTAATGTTTTTAAAATACAAAGTTTTTAAATTTTCTGTTTTTTACTGTTTACTTCATATACATGTATTCTTCTAATGCTATGTTTTGGACTTAGCTTCTTTTAACAAGCCAACCAAAACACAGCTAGATCTGTTTTTTGTTTTTGTTTTTGTTTTTCTTTTCTGAACAAAATGACAAGATGGGAGAATTGACCCCCCAAAAAAAGGACAGGAAGTAGAAATTACAGCTAGTAATCTAATCAATACAGATACAAGATGCCTGAATTAGAATTTAAAATGACAATTATAAGGATACTAGCTAAGCTTGAACAAAAGCATAGAAGACACTAGAGATTACCTTTGTGCAGAGAAAAAAAAAAAAACAAAAACTAAAGTCTAGTTAGGTCAAAATTAAAACTATAATCAAGTAGCAACCTCAAATAGAGGCCATAAACATGAGTATGGATGAGGCAGAGGAATGAATTAGCTATATAAAAAATAAAATGATGGAAGATATGGAACTAAAAAGAAAAGAGAATAAACAGTGACTTATTAAAACTTATTAGGGGCGCCTGGGTGGCGCAGTCGGTTAAGCGTCCGACTTCAGCCAGGTCACAATCTCGCGGTCCGTGAGTTCGAGCCCCGCGTCGGGCTCTGGGCTGATGGCTCAGAGCCTGGAGCCTGTTTCCGATTCTGTGTCTCCCTCTCTCTCTGCCCCTCGCCCGTTCATGCTCTGTCTCTCTCTGTCCCAAAAATAAATAAACGTTGGAAAAAAATAAATAAATAAATAAAACACAGTAATACTTGTATCATTAAGAGTCTTGCAGGAGAAAGAAAAATGGGCAAAAGGTTTATTTGAGAAAATTAAAGCTGAACACTTCCCCAATCTGGGGAAGGACACAGACATTGAAATCTGAGAAACTCCCAATGGATTCAGCAAAAACTGACCATCACCAAGATATACCATAGTCAAATTCACAAAATATACAGAAATGCAAAGAATCCTGAGAGCAGTAAGGGGAAAAAAAGGTCCTTAACCTACAAGGGAAGACAGATCAGGATCACACCAATTCTGTCCACTGAAACTTGGCAGGCCAGAAGGAATTCACAGGAAATATTAAATGTGCTAAATGGGAAAAATATGCAGCCAAGAATTCCTTACCCAGCAAGGCTATCATTCAGCACAGAAGGAAAAATAAAGACTTTCCCAAACAAAAACTAAAGAAATTGGAACCACTAATTCAGCCCCACAAGAAATATTAAAGGGGACTCTTGGAGTAGGGATAAAAAGACCAAAAGCAACAAGACTACAAAAGACCAGAAAATATCTGCAGAAACACCAACCTTTGTTGGCATTAATAGCATTAATTCCTGTCTTTCAACAATCACTCTGAATGTAAATGGACTAAATGTGCCAATCAAAAGACACTAAGTACCAGAATGGATAAAAAACAAGACCATCTATATGCTGCCTATAAGGGGCTCATTTTAGACCTAAAGACCAAGGGGAGATAGAGAACAAATGATCATGGTTCTGACAAACCAAAGAAAACCAGAGTAACCATACTTACATCAGACAAACTAGGTTTTAAAACACAGACTGTAACAAGAGATGAAGTATATCATAATTAAGGGGTCCACCAAGAAGACCTAACAATTGTAAATATTTATTACAAGTTGGGTGCACCCAAATATATAAATCAATTAATAACAAACATAAATTAACTTACTGATAATAATATAATAATAACAGAAGATTTTAATAGTCCACTCAGCTCATCTAAGCAGAAAAACAAGGGAACAATGGCTTTGAATGACACACTGCACTGGCTTGTCTTAACAGATATATTGAGAACATTTCATCCTAAAACAGCAGAATACACATTATTCTCGAATGCACATGAAACATTCTCCAGAACAGAGCTGCATATCCAGAACTGGGACACAAATCAGCCCACAACAAGTACAAAAAGATCCAGATCATATCATGCATATTTTCTTTTTCTAAAAAAAATTCTTTTAACGTTTATTTATTTTTGAGACAGAGAGAGACAGAGCATGAACAGGGGAGGGGCAGAGAGAGAGGGAGACACAGAATCGGAAACAGGCTCCAGGCTGTGAGCTGTCAGCACAGAGCCCGACGCGGGGCGCAAACCCACGGACCACGAGATCATGACCTGGGCCGAAGTCAGGCACTTAACCGACTAGCCACCCAGGGGCCCCTCATGCATATGTGTTTTCTGAACACAATGCTATATGAAATTTGAAGTCAACCACAAGGAAAAATTTGGAAAACCAGAAATACATGGAGATTAAAGAACATCCTATTAAAGAATGAATGGGTTAACCTGGAAATTAAAGGAAAAACAAAAAAAGTACATGGGATCAAATAAAAATGAAAATATGATATTGCAAAACCTTTGGGATATGGTAAAGATGGTCATAAGAGGGAATATATTACAATAATGGCTACCTCAAGAAGCAAGAAAAGTTTCAAATACACCTAACTTTAGCTAAAGGATCTGGCAAAAAGAGGCATAAATAAGAGTTCATATCAAAAATGGAATAATCTAAGTAACAAATTCCTGGACATACTTTTGGGTATAATTGTCTGTAAGAAAGAGGATTTAAAGAGGGCTGAAGTTAGATGGATTAGAACTTGACACAGATTAATATCATAAATACTAAAAACCATGGCCATATGATATGAGTTATCACTAGGTCAAGGTAGGAAAAATTTCCTTTCTTTTGAAGTAGAGAAGGAAAAGAGGTTGATTATGAAAAGGAAATTCATTACTACTTTTGACCTTTAATTTTTTATTTTTATTTTTATTTATTTTTATTTTTTATTTTATTTTATTTTTTAAATTTTTCAATGTTTATTTATTTTTGGGACAGAGAGAGACAGAGCATGAACGGGGGAGGGGCAGAGAGAGAGGGAGACACAGAATCGGAAACAGGCTCCAGGCTCTGAGCCATCAGCCCAGAGCCTGACGCAGGGCTCGAACTCACGGACCGCGAGATCGTGACCTGGCTGAAGTCGGACGCCTAACCGACTGCGCCACCCAGGCGCCCCTGACCTTTAATTTTTTTAAAAAATTCTCTGAATTTGACAAAATAGGACTTTGAAATATTAATAGTTCCAGCTTTCTTTTACCTGAAATTTACAAAGTATATGCATATAATCATACATTTTTTAGAAAAATAAACTTATTTATAATTATATACATTTGGCAACTGAAAACTAAAGAAAATGTAAGCCCTAAAACTGTATGTACCTACAGAGCCAATAATTAATTTTGTGGAAACCTGATGCCCTAATTTTATAAAATGTGCTAACAAGTAGGACAGAACTGCAATTTTTGTACTGTATTTTCATTCCCATTGTCACTCACAGTATAAGTATGCTTCTTTAAGTTATCCATGTAAGTTTTGGACAGTAATATGCTCATACATAGAAACTATTAACTTCTACTACATGCATTATTTATGGCCTACCCTTTTTTGTTGTCCATTTTCATATACAACCATCCTTTTTTGCCCTCTTTTCCAACATACCTGGCCTCTTGACCACTGATCAGCCCCAGGACTTGGGAGACACAAGCCTCTGCTTCATTTAGGCAGTTCCTTAATCGCTGAAGTAGTTCATTGTTAGGAAACCTCCTCTCACGAGCCTCAGACTCCAGTGCCCTTAACTCTTCAAAGCCTGAAGACAGAGTAATAGTTGTAAGAGGTAGACAGTATTAGCAAAAGCTGGCAGAGGGTATCTGGGGTGATGAAGAAAAGAAACAGAGCATGCCCATGGATCCTTCCATTTCTCATCACTTACTGCACTTCTGGCCATCCTCCACTTCCAAAGCTACTCGTACTTTGTTGGCCCAGTTGTCAAAGGACTCAGCCCAAACCTTCAGCTTATGCAGCATGGCAGGAAGCTCATCCAAGGTGTACCGATACCTAGAGGAAGGGGGCAGGGAAAAACACATCTGGCCCAGCTCTGTAACTTCCTTGATGTCCTCCAAGTAGGCCCCATGCTCACCGCAGATACTGCCGCCTACTAGAGCACTTGCAGAGGTCATTGATGTGGGAAAGGCAGACAAGGCCATCTGGGCAGTCATAGCAGGCCAAGGCTGATAGGAAGCATGTTGTCTTGCACTTGATGCACTGGCGCTCATCATCTGGGAGCAGCTCGAAAGCCTCTCGTTCAGCCTCCGTGATGCCCTGGGGGTGTTCAATCCATATATACTTTAAAGACTAGGAGCAGGGTTGTGGACACCCCACCTCAGCCAACACTGAGCCCTTGTTGTGGGCTCAACCTTGTAAGGACAGCTGTAGAGAAAGTGGAAGAAAAAAATATAAACACATACAGTTTCTGTCTTTCCACTTCAAAATGTATGAGTCACACACGAGGCACAGAATGACTACTCAATTTGTATGTCTCCCTTCCGCAGTCTACTTTATTGAATCTCTAAGCCGTGCTGCCCACCACCCACCTTCTCCAACAGAGCTTTTCGTAAACGTCGCTCCTCCTGCACCATAATGAACATCTCCTTGTGCACAGCCACAGCCAAATTCAGGTCCAACTTCTCTGGGAAAGCAGCCATCTTGCAGATGAGCTCCTCATGGGAGAAGACACAGTAGCGCCGGAGCCGGCGGTAGTGTTCAATGCACTGGCGTCCAGTAGGTAGCTGCAAGTAGTTTAAGACTATGTGTGGCCATCTGCAGCCCACAGTATTTAGCTTCTCCACAATGATCTCTGTCCACATTCTTTATCCCTCTCTATCTACAAGCTTACCACACTCTGGACTCACCCAGTCAGCAGTGCAAAAATTGACAGCCTCAGCAAAATTGTAGCCTTGGTTAAAGCCACTGTGGTAAGCGCGAGGAAATGTGATGACAAATTCTCCTGCACATTGGTTTGTGCGGACAACCTGAAAAGGAGAGAAGGGAGTGTGGCCCAGGACTAAACAGAATGTGGACTTAAGAATGTCTTTGAATTTTGTTATAGATGTGGGAAATGAGTGGAAAAAGCCACAGACTCTATATTCATGTATGTATACCTTAAAAACACAAAAAACTGTGAACTTTAAAAGTGATGATATGCAGAGAAAAGTACAAAGAAAAATTATGTGCAGTTGAAGAAGGAAATACGAATCTTCCACAAACATATGATAAAGATTCTTGGGGTGCCTGGGTGACTCAGCGGGTTAAGCTGTGGTAAGCTCTGTGCTGACAGCTCAGAGCCTGGAGCCTGCTTTGGATTCTGTGTCTCCCTCTCTCTCTGCCCCTCCCGTGCTCATGTTCTGTCTCTGCCTCAAAAATAAAACAACAACAACAACAACAACAGAAAGATTCTTAGCTTCTTCAGTAAATAAATAAACTTTAAAAAATCAGGGCATGATATCAACACAAATAATGAAAGGGATACTCCAAAACCCATCCCTCCAATAAAAGAATAATTAAGTTAGCAAAAAGTATCAAAGTACTTTAAAAATTCTGTAATAAAATCACTAACTACCAATACTAGGAGGATTTTTGATGGAGGAAAAAAAAAAAACTTTTAAATTCTGGTAAAGGAACTCTGTAGTAGTGTTAACTTTCCTGCCTAGAATCCCCCCAACCAGTATCACCAGCTACCTGGGAAAGAGTAGTGTCAAAATCCTAGTGCAACTTGCTGGTGCCATGGAACACAACATGCATTGTTGTTTTCAAAGACCTGAGGCTGTGTGTGTTGGCCTGACTGATGGCTCCCAAAAACAACTGGCTCAAAGACCTGCCATTATTTCAACTGCCTCAGAATTTGCCCAAAAGAGAAGTGGACTCCTAGGCTCTGCTGGCTGAAAATATACAAACACAAATGCATTAGCCATAGCCACCTGTGGTAAAAGAGAATGGACAAACAAGAGAAATTCTAAAATGACTGGAAAGGAAAGGAAGGCAGAAGAGATACTTGGGAAAACAAGGGCTCTGAAAAATTCACACGTATTCTGGGAATTGAGAAGGCTATATACATGCTAAGAAAAACCTGAGAAGGTATTAAACTCCATCTCTGGTTGACTTTCAGGTTCCACTCAAGTAGAAGCTGAAGGTTAAATCAATATTAAACAGCTTCACAAAGTAGTCAAAAAGGGCTCAAAACAGACCCAAGAAAGACTAGGAGGCAGTTTTGTTTTTTGGTTTTAAGGAAAAGTCCATGGTAACAAACAGGAAGAACTGTGGATTTGACAAGATTACTTCAAGTTCTGAAAAGCTGCACAATATTATTATTCACTGGGGAAATGCAAATTATAGCCAGAAGATATACTTCTGACCACTATTCCAGCCATAATAAAAAAAATTCTTTGTAAACAGGAAAATGACATGGTTGGCAAGGGAAAGAACAGAAGGGAACACTGGGGAATATAAACTGATGCAACCACTATGAAAAATTTTAAATTTTAAATATAAAAATAGCATATGACCCAGTAATTCCACTTCTGGTTATATAACCTAAAGAATGAAAAGCAAGGAGTCAAAAGATAAAAAGATATTTGTACATGGATATCCATAGCAGCACTGTTCATGACGGTTAAAGAAAAGACATTTAAAAAAAGAAAGCACAGACTACTTTAAGAAATAATGGCTGAACAAGTCCCAAATTTTGGAAAAGACTGAATCTACACATGGAAATAAGACAAAATCAGGTATAATCAAACTGTCAACAGCTAAAGACAAAGAATCTTGACATATCAAGAGAGAAATAATTCATCTTACAATAATGAATATTCAGTAAGATTATCAGATTTCTCATCACAAATCTGGGATGTCAGAGGGCATATGATAACATTTCTAAAGGATAAAATTAAAGAGAGATGAGAGGAAGGGAGGGGAGGGAAGAAAAGAGAGAAAAAAGTAAAGAGAGAGAAAACTAAATAGAAAAGAAAAAAGAAAAAAGAAAAGAGAAAACAAAAAAGAAAAGAAAAGAAAAAAGAAAGGAGGGGAGGGGAGGGGAGGGGAGGGGAG